AGGAATAACCATTATAAAACTACAAAAGTTGGAGATAAAGCTTGAATAGGGTCAAGATATGGTCATCAAGACTGCTGACTCCAATAAATATGCTTAAATATATTTTTTTGGCATCACGAATTTTCGGTTTCTCAATAAATTAACTTTTATCTTTCATGCTACGTACATACTACTTAGTATTTATTAATGTGTGGAAAATATTATTTATTCTTATGGATCGTCAGAAAAGACAACAACTGTTATTTACTACTGAAAAACGTGGATAAAGCTGCTCACCTCAGGAGAGAGCGGCTGAAGGAAGGAGAAAAGAGAGGGTTTTTGACTCTTCGGCCTCGTGAAAAGGATGCTGCCGCCCAAAGTCATGAAGGGATGACTGAAGTCAATCGCTTTTTCGCGTTCGTAAGTGATAGTCAAAGCGGCCACTGCAATATCTGACTCCTGAGCGAGAAATATGAAGGATGAAGCTGCCTGAATGAATGGACACTAGTTGGAAGTGAAATTCAAAAGTGGATACATAAAGGCCCATTTCCGGGCGCTCTGAATGGCTCTCCACTCCTTCCCAATATGCCCCATCAACTAACCAGGTAGAAATATGGCTTTTCAAAAGTTATAATGCCATACCTTTACGCAAATCGACGTGAACTGGCCAGCACTGGCACCTACGACTACCAGTTCTTGTCTCCTCATCTCAGTTAGCAAGACCATTTCACAATTCTAGTACAGTCAGGAGGGCCAAAACAGCGTTTCCGTCAGTTTGATCGCCGTCCACTTCCACTGTACCGGCTTGGCCCGACCCATTAAGCACAATTTGCGTCTGTTTCCAGCGCCACCTTTGAGAATCTGTTTTGACCTGCATCCTCCTTAACCTCTATCCTGTCTTCTTTCGTCATCGGCCCAGTGATTGGTTTCATTCCCAGGCATTGTACTGGCCTCTTGACACTTAGCGCTAAACTAAGTCGGACGACAGTGACACTTCTTGTCTATCTGATGAATTATAGCTCGGTGCAACCATGGCTATCAACTGATAGGTCAACCGTGAGGTGCTGAAAGAAAATATTACGATAACAACAACAACGACAACAACAGCAGCAACAACAACAACAACTAACATAAGCTGACTATGTTATAATGAGCCTTACTTGCTTAAGGGCTCCT